CAGTAATGAGGTGGAGAAGGGGCTGGAGGGGGAAGAAGCTGGGGAGAGACAGAGGGCAAGGGGGCTATCTGACACCCAGATTTATTTTCCATGCTGTAGCAGTGGGAGTGGGACAAATTCAAGGCAAACCTCCAATAATTAGATTCTTATATGGAAAAATTATATAGAATCTAATTATTGGGTGGGGGGTGATCTTATATTCAGGGTCATCTTCTATTTTAGTAAATACGGTATATTATTCTAAAATATAAATTGTACCTTTTTCCCGCCCAATGTAAGCAAATATGTGTTAATTAGCTGTCTGTCAACTGATGTATTCAAGAGCAACAAACTAACTTGGAAACCTAAAGTTGGACCTATAAACCTATAATTAGTTATGTAAGCAAGCGGCCTGCTTTGCAGAGGTGTAGCCCTCAGTGACTGTGGGTGCTTATCACCTTTGAAACTCAGGCCACTAGTCAGACTTGGGCTGAATGATTTTTCCCAGTCTTACTCTCTGCCATCCATGGGTCAGCTGCTGGAGCTACTTACAAGGAGGAGCTGCCTGGTAAGCACAGCTACAAAAGAGCTGAACTACTGGGGAACCAAGGGAGGACTGATCAGGTAACAGTAGAAAGATAGAGGGCCTCTATGCAGTTGATCTTTGTCTTCTGCAGATCCAGAACTGATGTGATCCAAGCATACCCTGCTTCCTTGACAAGACAGCATGAGAATCCATGCAACCAGAGGTTCTTCAATATTTCCTCCCTCGGAACCCCATCATGGGTCCTAGTAATTAAGAGAATAATCCTTGGAGCTGACTAAAGAAGGTAACATACACTGGGTGGCATAGAACAGTGGGAAACTGAAAGGATTTAGTGTGATAGACCCTTCAGGAAAAACAAAACAACATTTTACAAAAGTCAACAGGTCCTTAAACATTCTCTCATATGCATACCTGGAGTTTGAATTATGGACCTCATTGTTTCCCACCTAAACTTGATTGCTCAATGTCAACAGGGCAAACTCCTCAAGCCAATCCCTCGTCCATTGGCAAATCACCTGCGTCGTTCACCTGCTACACCTGTTTCATTACTCTTGATGTTAACAGGCGGGAGGCTGCCCTTTGTGCGCTCAGCTGTAAAGTGGGTGATCTGTACATGCTCTGACCTTCCCTATATGTGTCCTATGCCTCGCAGATGTATCATGGCCTGGTACCCGGCTTCCAATCTGGGGCACACACCGGGCCTTCACATATTTGACCTAGCACCCAGCTTCTAGTCCAGGGTGCAGACTGAGCCTTACTCAACTGCTTTCCTACACCAGGGCCTCTCAACAACACTTCCTTTCCACAGCCTCTCACCTACGCTCTCAACGCTCTTTCCTCTCTTGGGCTTTTCAACTGCACCCCCTCTCCAGGTCCTCTGAACACTGCCCTCTCTCAATACTCCACCCTCCTATGAGGGCATGCGGTTGAACACCCCTGTAGGCTCAGGTGCTCCCCTCAGCGTGCCTGGCCCACCACTCTCAGTACTAAACCCACTGGATGGTGGGGGTTGGGGTTAAGGCCTCCCTACCCACTTTTCACCAGGGAAGGTAACTGGCCTGGCATTTCCTGGGGACTCCCTCACCACAAGGAGTCCCAACAGGGCATTCTTCCCTGGCAGGGGTCAATTTTCAGGTCATGCTCAGCACCACGGGGCCACCTCCTTCTCCATAGCCCCGTCCTTACCTCCAAGATGTTCCTGGAGCAGTGGCTTGGCCAGATGTTGCCTCTATGACAGATAACCATAAACTGCTCCCTCTTATCCTTAAAACTGAGCACTAAATTGGCTGCTGTCATCAACCACCTGTTGGCCCCCTGCTCCAGCCCTTAAAGTGATGAAGCACTAATGCTGCTCCATCACACTCAACATTTATCTCGGTGGGTACACAGCACCCACTACTACCCACAGCACCCACCCACTTTGGGAAATAGGTACTGAAAAGTCTGCTGGAGCTTAAAGGAGAAGCTTGACTGTTTCTAATTGTCTGTTCTGAACACGTGTGTACTGAAAAAACTGAAATATGCATTTGCAGCAAGATTAGATGATAGAGCTTCCAAGCTAGGGTTACTATATTTTCAGTTCCAAAAAAGAAGACACCTGTCATGTGGTTAGGGGGCAGAGGGGAGGAGGCAGGGCCTATGATTGTGGGGGGCAGTGAAATGCCAGCGCCTTGCCCATTCCATTGCCCCTTACTCCTGAGCCACAGCCCTCCCCAACCCCCCCC